AAACAATGCAAAAAGTTGACCAATCATTTTCATGCATGTCCATTGAGGTATCGAGACCGCAAAAAATAACAATAATAACTTCTGAATGTATGCAAACGAAGAAGCGACCTCTCGACGGCTCGACCAAAATTTTTAATGCACGTGAGTGTTGATGGCGCGAGTAACACAGTAGCACATACAATATATATTTTTAATGTCACAAACTTGTATCGTACCAGGAGTGATGCATCGCAGATCCGACAATCATCATTACTTGATTTGGAAATCAATTTTATTTTTGTACCTAGTGTGCTTAGATGTAATTTCTTCTCTCTTTAATATTGCATATCTTAATTGTACCGCATATGGATCTTAAAGTAACAAGACTTTTCTTTTTTTTCATATTCATAAAATACGTATACTTATCTTTCTTTCATAAAATGTGTATACCTGAATACAGCTTAAAATTCGATATCGAAAATAACGCCGGATCATTGCGCCTGGTGAAGTACTCTGTTACGAACCCAATCCTTGAGTGGAGTACGCTTGTGATTTCTCAATAGTTTATAGATGATCGCATCATGCTGAAATGATATTTCGATGCCGAGTTTATGAAAGAACATGCTACAGCCTGGATAAAGAATTTTTGGAAGTGGGCGAGCAGAAACAATTCCGGATAGGCGTAATTGATTAGTCGTCTCAAATTCGGAGATATCTGCCGGCATACTAAAATCTAATTCGATGCCTTTTTCAAATAACAGATGAGTGGTGTGAATAATGTGTTACGTGATAATAGCGATCAACTGTTTATTTTTTCTCAATCAATCCAGACCTTTGTTGACGACTTGGTATGCGTGACCCAAGAATGTGTGTGCGACAAAATCCCCGACCACGTAATTTCTGTTTGGTATGATTCTATTTGAAACTATTACCTCACCGACCAATTGGGCTAAATCTTCCTTGACCGTGACGTTCAAAAAGATATATTGATTTGGGCTATTGAAGGCCGTCGTAATTGTCGAAATGTCGTGCTTGAGGATCTCTTCGTCAAATATTCCGACTTGAAGTAATATCCACTTCATGGCATTGGGATGATTGCTTGCCGACGCCTGATATTCAATTAGTCGTTTGTGTAATCTTGTTCGCGGGCTCCTTTTATCCGTGACGTAATGTTCTCTAATTGAAATTGAGATCCAATACTTTTGGCAATTAATATAATTTATT